TCTCTATACTTACTTTTTTCTCTGCAGTTTCGATGTTTATTTGTGAATTTATGTTGGCCTCTTCATCCTTTTCATTTTTTCTTTCTGTCTCTATCTTCAGCTCTTCTTGCCTTTCTTTTATCTCATTAGTCTGTTGTTGTTCTTTCTTTCTTTTTGTATTTATTTTGTCTTGGTACTATTCTACAAAATTCAACTTCTTTTTAGTCTGTTTTCTTTTTGCTTTTTCTAGTATTTCTCTTGTTATTCGCAAAAGTACTACTTCATTTGGGTTTTGTCTTATGAGTGCTGTGACAATATTGTTTTTTCTACTAGATATTACATATGCCTTGCTTGTCTCATTAAAGAAAATTTTATTGTACATACTATTCATTACCTTATATATCCTTCTTGTGAAAATTGCATTAAAACTTCCTCTATATTCTTTGGCAAACTTTTATTCATGTTGTATAAACATTTTCTATATGCTTCTATGTTACATGTTGTATCTAAATTAAGCTAGTTGGTGTACATGTTTGTTTGTTTACTTTACTTGTCCTATTGCAGTTTCTTGTGTAACTTTGAGGATCTACAGTACAGAGTTTGACAGTTCTCTAATTTTTCAAACAAATTTTTTACTTTTCATAAAAAGTTTTTTATGTACTGTTCTTTGTTGACTTTAAGGCTTCTCTTCATATCTTCTATTAAACTACATGCAATTTTTGCTGCTCTATCTTTTTTGTTAGTACCTCAAGTCTTGTTTTCTAGTCTATTTATTGAGTTTTTCTAAGTTTTGCTTCTTGGAAATTTTAGTTGAGAAATCTACAGAAGAGAGTTTAGAATTAATGTATTTTATATATATATATATTTTTTTTTATTTATATAATATCAAGTAGGAAAAATATTAATATATGAATATATTAATTAGATATAAATATATAAATAAGAATTATTCCTAAGCTACACTATTGTTGCTATATACTAATAACATCTAGTATAATATTATCCTTTAGTTATCTGTTATTAGTTAAATCAACTATTGTAATCATTAACTATAGAAAGAGGTAAAAGAAACCCTTAAGGTTGTTAAAATTAATAAAAGCAATTATATATAGAAAAGTTTTGAGAAAAAGTTTTAGAAATAAAGAAATATATATCAGTATTAAATATGAAACTATTGTTAGTAGAATTGAGAGATTATAAAATAGGTAATTAGATGTTGTTTTTCTTTTTAGTTGAGACAGTAATTCCTTATGCTAATTTCTATTCATATTGTTTAGTATTTTAGGTTTGCCAAATAGTAGAGTTGAATCAGTTAAGTAGAGAGTTGGATAGAAGAATAAGGAAATTGTTTGTTAGTTTTTTTTAGAGTAGGTTGAAGTTGTTTGTATTGGTCAAGAGTTATGTTTTCTGAATGAGTAAGAGTATTGTATTATATATATTAGAATTTGCAAGAGAGTTTTGTAGATTTAGAATTTGTACTATTGTATGTGATAAGGTTTCTAAGAGATTTAATGAGCTTAATGTATTTGAAATTTCATTGATAAGGATGTTATATAAATTGTAAATATGAAGTGAATATTGTAATAGATGTATAATATTTTTGTATTAATTGCAAAATGAGCAATTTGAGGTTAAAAAAATAAGAGGGTAATGAATATTCAAATTTGTCATTGTGGGTAAGTTATTAAGAAGTATTTTGTTCCTAATAGAAAATAGTTTAGGGTTAGAGTTTTGAGAATTAATAATTTCAGTAAGTAGTTGAATATTTAAAGTAGAAAGATTCTGTAGTAGTTTGAGTTAGAAAAGTTTGTTGAAAGTTTGGATAGAGAGTAGGTTCCTACAAAATTTATATAGTTTGTATGTGATTGGTATTTCTTTCCAAGTAAAGAAGATAGGTAGATAGAAGGAGTCAAGATTAAGTTTTAGTTTGGTTTTACTAGCAACTTGTTTAGCTAAAGCATCAACTATGTTATGTAGAGTGTTGTTAGAATATGATTTAATTTTATGAGTGATATAGTTAATATTTTTGAGTTTGGTTAGGTAATTTAGAATATGAATAATATCTTAATTATTTTATTTGGTTTGAGAGTTGTGATTGTAAAGTATTGAGTTTGTGAGAGTTTGAATAGTAGATAGACTATCAATATGAATGTGGATTTGGTAATTAGTAAATAGGATAAGAAATAAAAGAATAAGTGCTGCGAGTTCTGCTTATGTAGAATTTGATACATGAAATATAAAGGCATTAAATTTAATTTGTATATCATTTTTGAGAATTCAGGCAATACTAGTAGATATATTATATGTTTATAAATTGAGTATGAAGGCATCAATATAGAAGTATAGATTAGTTGAATTGAGAAGTAGTATTTTTTGATAAAGGTTTATGAATCGATTTTGGTATATAGAATTGGATATTGTGTTTTGTATTAGGATGATTTCTGAAGAGGGTAATAAAAGAGATGGTAAAGACTGTGAAGTAGATTTATACAACTTTGCATGAATGTTTTGGAGTGCTTCAATTTCTTGGATATTTATATTAAGTTTAAAATATTGTAGTCTTTTTTGAGTTTTGCATTTTAGATTGATAGTTTGTTTGTAATTTATTTGAAATGTTGTAGATGTAGGAGAGATGTAAATTGTGTTAGTTTTTGAATTGATAATTTGATATTTTTGAAAAAGTATTTGAGAGTTAGATGTATTTGTAATTTTTTCAATGAACCAATTTGAAGATAAGATATAAAGTATCTATATGTTTTTAGGATCATTAAATTGAGGTATAATGAGATTAAATGTATTTAAAAAAGGGTTAATAGATTGAAGTTGAAGATTGGGTTATATGTGTAAGATAGGAAGGGTAGAAATTTGGTTTGAAAGTATTTTGAACCAGCTCAGTATAGGGCCTTATGAAGATTTAAGAGTTCTAAGATATATGTTTTTTTAAGGAAATAAGTTAAGATTATTCACTGTGAGTAGTTGTTATTTTATATATTTAATCTTTACAATATTATTATTAGAAGTTTAAATTATCTGTTTACTTAGATCTTCTAAGTAAACTTTCATTATTCTGATTTCTATATTTATATAACTATAAGAACTTATTATAGGTTTATACTACTCAGTACCAGTTTGTGATTCTTTATACAAAATTATATAAATGCTATATAATCTTCTAGTCATAGTAGTATGATGCAAGTAATAAATATCTGATCTTAACCAATTCCAAAAGACAGTTAACTATAATACAAAAAGAATTATAAATTTTTATCAACACTAGGATTTAAACTTTAAATTTATAGACCCGCTACTTAGAGATTAATAATCTGTTTACTTTACTAAGTTACTATACCTCTTAATTTTTATTTACTTTTTACAATTACTAAATATAAATTTATAAAAAAATTTAATGTTTTTGAACATAAAATAAAAAACATATTAGTAAAAATTAATATATTTGTATATATATTTTAAAATATATATATTTTGATTTTTTAAACAATGAACAATCATTTGAACCAAACTTTTCAAAAAGCTGAATTACAGAAAAATAATTTAGTTAATATATTAAACTTTATGAAAACCTTTCTAAAGTACTGTACATGCATTGTTAGATATTGAAATAGAGTTAAAAAAGAATCATAACCTTGTGATAATAGTTTAAAGAACACTCTAAGATTATAGAAGAAGTAGTCAATGAAAGCTAAGGTTTCTCATTAAGTAAATAACAAAGTTGAATATATTAGTTCTATACAATTGTAAAACTTATAAGGAATACCTACAAGGATTCAGAACTTACAAAAACTAAAAGTTGGTTTACCTAGTATTTTTACTTTTTTTCAAGGAAAATTTTATAAAAATAGATAATTTAGTTTACTTCCTTCTAAAGATTAACATGTAAAATCACCAAAACAGTTAGCAATATTTATTTCCTAAATAGGATTGTTGATAATGTAGATCAGAAATAATATAGCAATACAAATATGACTATATATATGCCTTGAGCTACTAGAAATCTGTCAAACACTGTATTTGAACTAACCAGTATCCTATACTGACTCTTTACAATAAAGTCAAGTTTTTTTTTCTTTTTTGGTTTTTTGTTTAAATAATCTAAATAAATAAGAAGATAATAGAATAATTTCTATTTAGTATAGTTTATAATTTTTACAAACCTGATACAGACTTATAATTGTGGTTGTCTGATATCTGTAAATTACAAATTTTAAGTTTTATACTTTTCTTTTTTCTCAGTTATTTTCTTTTTCTCTTTTATTTCTTGTTTTGTATCTTTTATCATTTACTCTTATATCACTGTTTTTTTTTTATATATTAAATCTTTTTTTTGTTTTTTGGTTTCTTTATAAGAAGACATTATCAGATTGGTGGTATTCTATTGTAAGACAGCAGTCAGACAAGCAGTCTATATCTGTTTGAGGTAATGCAACAAGTTGCACTTAGGTACCAATAAGATGACTGAGTAATACTGAACTTAATTATTAGAAAATTTCTTTGTAATCTGTATAGTTTCAAGAATTCTAATAAAGTACTAATGTGACTGTTTAAGTTAAAAAAAAAAATTTCTAAACAACTTTACTTAATAACATATAATTAATTTACTTAGTAAAATTCTGACTTTACTATATACAAACTTAATATAACATCTAAAAAATACCAAACCTACAATTTTAATATTTTAATATAAATGAATCAAAACCAAATTTTTGGTTATCAAAGAGCGTAAAAGTATAAGTCTGTAGCTTCACTCCAGACAATAATAAAAGTAACTAACACTTGCATTAAATTCATATAATTTAGTAATAGATTGGAATATATTTTAACAATTATATAATACGTATGTTTTATATATCTAATAAAACTTAACTAGCTTTTTTGTTAAGTTAAAAAAATGTTACCAAATATTGCATTTATAAAATAAAATAACAAAATCCTTTTATAAAAAGCATTATAAAAAAAATCAATTGCTTTTAAATTTTATTGGTTAATTACAGATAATTATAATTCTATAATTTTTCTAAAATCGATCTGCATTGTCCAAATTTGGTATTAGGGATTGGAACCACCTAAAATTTTTCTTAATCGTTTAACCGTTTGATTTGGCCAGCGTTAAAATAATTCCGACCCACGCCAACATAATTCTACCCGGAACTATGGAGCAATTGTCAAACGGTTAAACGGTCCCAATCCCTATTTGGTATATTTCTTGTTTTTGAGCAGTTATAAATTCTTCATACCCTTTTTCCAATTCTGTTAGCCAATCAGGATGAAGCATAAGAGTATTCCATTTTTTACCTGGTATTAAAACCCCTTTTAAGCTCAAAACATCGAGCTTTTCTTTAATTATTTGATCATCTTTAGCCAAAGATTGTTTTTTCCCATTGTTAATATATATATGCACCAGCGATTCTTTTTTTGCAGCTTTCAATATGTATGGTAGAATTTCCTTTAAAAAAATGCAATCATCTAAATCAAGTCCCTTTGAAATAAAAAATTGATCTGCGAACGAACTTGAAACAATAGTTTCAATCGATATGCCCGGGAGCTTAACCAACATATCGATTTTGTCGACAGTAGCACTAGTGGATTCTAGCCTTTGAATTTTACTGGATTCAGCATCTTGATTTTGTTCATCAACGCCATCTATTTGTTTTTCTTCCTCGACAACAATAAGACGTCCGTCCTCAATAAATTTTTCAATTGTTTTATTCACTTCATTATGCCGATCAAGTTTTTTTGGTTTAGTCTTAATCCAACGATAATACTTATTTTCAAGTAAGCTGACAAGAATATTCAATTTGTGAGCCTGTTTCAGTAAGTTATTACAAAAATTGAGATAGAATAAGATGTCGTTTATAAAAATTATGACGAAAAAAAATAAAGATGACTTACTTTTCCTTTCGGATAAGAACTTAAAAGCAATTCGTAAATCTCTTCTTCTTCTTCTTCCCTGGACATCGGATTCATGCTTTCATAATTTAAATAATCAGGATTCATCCTATCTTCAAGAATGTTCTCATACACTTGAATTCCAGCAAATGCGTCAGCAGATGCATATAATATTAATTCAGGATCCAATGTTGCTGCATCAAAATTCCATTTCAATATTTTTCTTTTATTTTTTTCCAAAACAAGCCCTGGATCCCCAAACATTAACGTTAACTCTGACAATGATCCCGCAGAATACCCTTTTTCTTTAGCAATATCCTCGAGATTAACAATTCCTTGGCATTGAATGTCATATGATTTCTTTAGCCATTCTGCATCATGGCTTGCGTTGACTCCAACCTTTAGAATATTCGGATTACTTAAAAATTGACGAAGTATTGGTGGAAACTCTTTGCAATTCCCTTGCGTAATACGATACACTTGAAATAAAAAACACAAATCACGTGTGGCAATTTGTATCATTGAAACTAATCTATGGTTTCGTTGCCTACGAACTGTAGTTTCAGTATCAAAACCGACATAACCTGAATGCCATGAAGTGCATTGTTTCAGGATGTCGAAGCAACGACTAGCTATATGGAAGGTGTGTAAATACGCGTATATTAACTCAATTTTGAAAGATTTCGACAAGCCATATAAAACATGATATACTATATGCTTAGATATTACCATAGTATTTGTTAGAGATTTGATACACGGGTGGGTTCAATCTGACCTTTGATATTTCTGATCTATCTAAAAGGTCAACTAAAGAAACAGATGTAGAAGTAGGAGGCCCTTGCTTTGAAGCGACAGAGTATGTTCGTGTTTGTACTTTATTGTACATTTTTGTCCGAATATGTTTATAGGTAATTGGAGCTCTTGAACGTGTAAACCAAAAAAGTAGGTGATCCTGTTGCATCTTAAAATTCGCTCCTACTTTTTTTTTTTTTTAAATGATATTTTTGTGCAACTTCAAACAAACGCGTGTGACAATGATCATGAATTTGATCTAACATAAGGTACGTACGTACAGTTGTTATAAAATACCGTTCCTGATGGAGTTAAAAAAAAATTTTATTTGAGCACCGTTCCTGATAGGGTTCTAAAAAAAGGCTTCTAAAATATTATTATACTATAGCGAAGTATGTATGAAAAAGTTAGGATTAGGGTTCGTTTTTAAAACCCTAGCAGGAACAGTACTCGAATGGTTATATCATGTGAGCTGTTTAACATAACAACCCTATAGCGATAGTGTTTGTAGTCGACTCGATCTAGTCACCTCCTGACTAACTTAGTCGACTTAGTCAATCGACTAATTAATTTAGTAATTTGATTGTTATTGGTTAATTAGGTTATTGTTTTAAAGATAATAAATAATATATCAAAAATATCGATATATCAACAATAATAATTTATAAATAATAAATTTTTTTTTTTTTTTTTTTAACCTTAAGCAGTTACGTTAGTACTTTATTAAGATTCTTGAAACTATATACAGGCTATACAAAGTTGATTTTCTGGTTTTCATAACATAAAATAAAAAAATGACCTGGCAGGCCGGGTAAAAATTTTATATATAAAAAATTTTTTTACATAATTAAAATTTTTTTTTAATTTTTTTACATAATTAAAATTTTTTTTTAATTTTTTTACATAATTAAAATTTTTTTTTAATTTTTTTTTTTTTTGTATATTGACAAAAACATTTAATTATATGTAAAAAAAAAATTTTTAATTTTCATTATTAGAAAAAGTAACCCGGTTGGTTATGAGAACTAAAAAATTAACTTTATATAGCTACATATACAATTACATAGAATCTAAGTTTAGCATCACTCAGTCACTTTACTAATACCTAAGTGTAATCTGTTACATTATCTCAGTTAAAGATAGACTGCTTATTTAACTACTTAAAATCATATCAAAAAGGTTTTTTCTCTTCTATAACAAGCATATTGATTGTTTTTCAAGCTTCTTACTTTATTCAACTTGTCTTTTTATTTTATTTTATTTTTTTTTTCTTTTGCTTGTTTATCTTTTTTTTTCTTTTATTTATCTTTTCTCCTGTATGAGCATCTTTTTTTATTTTATTTATTATGTTAGTCTTCTTTTCTCAGTCTTGTATCTTTTTATATTGAACTTTCTATATTTGGTTATAAAAGGTATTTTATATTGTTCTTATAAATATATCTATGCATTTCTGTATTATCTGTTAGCTTAAGAAGCATTTAAGTTTTTCTCATACTTTTATCATTATAAGTCTCTTTATTAGTATTTTTCTGTTTGTAATTTCTTTTGTTTCTATTTTTTTGAATCATGTTTTGTATAAAACTTATGATAAGATTCTATTTTTCTTTTCTTTTTTGAGTCCTTTTTATGTTAATGTTATTGCACTTTTTGAATCTGTTTTCATAAACTCTTTTATTTACTACAACTTGCTAAGTATGTTTGAGTTTCTTTTTTTCTGACTTGGTATATCTGATACTCTGCAATTGTATATACTTCTAATCTTCTTCTGTTTAGTTTTTCAAGTGTTAGTAAACTGTCCATTATGCATTTGATTAGTGTAACTCTTCTTGTATTAAATTTTTTTAATATATAATAAATTTCTTTTGTTTTATTTATTTTTTTCAAAAACTTGATCAATATATAGTATATTTTCTGTTTTTGGTTTTAATATTCTTATTAGATTTGTTTTTCTTTAATTGGTTTCAATTTTGATATTTGCTATTATTTTATATAGAAATCTTGTCAGTATGGCAATTTTTTGTTTTTTATTCTAAATAATACTTTATCTTATTATATTTAATCTTATCTATATATATTATATTTTAACAAGTTACTTCTTTTTTTGTAAGAAAATATAACAATACTATAATTTCTTTATAGTTTTTCTTTTTTATTATTTTTCTAAGTTTTTTCTTAATTACATACTAATTATTATAATTAATTTAACTATATTTAGTTTATCAATTTATCAAATATAATTAGAATTAATTTAGTAAATATAATATAAATAGATAAGCATTATTATAACTTATTTATTTTACTTTATAATGCAATTTTGTTTATTAATAATATGATTAATATGTATATTAATAATTAACTTTGATTTGTAATGTTTTATATTTATTTTTTATTTTATCTTTATTTATTATTAATTATATGTCAAAATTTTCTGAATAGATTAGTAAGCCTTAAAAGTGAACTAAACTTCTATTTTAATGTATTTTAATTCTTAAATTTATGTATTTTTAAAAATTATTTAAATCTGATAAGATTTTTTTAATAAAATTTAAGTATTTTTATTAACAAAATTATATACAAAAGTAATTCAAATAACAAAACCTTTACAGAAAGTTTGCTTTATTATTTCATTTATCTTTACTATAACTTTTAACTTTAATTATTTCTATTTTAATATTTTTGCTTTTGATAAGACCTATAATATTTATTATTCACATTGTATTCTTCTTCTTTAGAGTTTTTTTTCTTTTACATTTTGAATTGCTCTATTAATATTTCTTAATACTACAATGCTGTCTATATATACTTCTATGCTTTTTTTTTTTAATACTATTAAGATTGCTGTCTATATTGCTACTAATTTTGTTATCATAACTGAAAGCTATCTCTTAAGTTCTAATACAGTTTTTTTTTTTGACTAGCCTTTTTTATCTTCTACTTGTACCTAGCTGATACTTATTCTTTCTATACTATTTTCTTTTTATATAATACTCTATCAGTATAGAAAATATATTTTCTTTTATTTTTTTTCTTATTTTATAACAGAATTTTTATTAACTAGTTTATAATTATATTATTTAATTTTTTAGTTCTATTTCTAATTCTTTTGTTTGTTTTAATTCTAATAACTTTATTTTTTCTCTTTTGTATTTCTCTATTATTCTATTTTCTAATATCTGTTCTAATGTTACATTTATCTTATTGTTGGTTTTTTTTATTGATAACTCTAGTATTACTTTTATGTTATGATTTTATTTTATCCATTTCTTATACTTATTTATTATTACTTTTAATTTGTTTTTATAACCTTTGTATATACTTATTTCTATTAATGTTTTTTCATCTTCTTTATATATTAGTTAATACTTTGCTATCACTTTTTTTTTTTTCTTGATTACTTTACTAAATTGCTAGTTATGTTTTGGGCTATATATAATCTATTTTTTTTTTCTTTAGTCTTTTAATATCTTTGTTTACTTGATCTTTAATGACTATGTATTATATCTATTTATTTTATAATAATTTTGTATTTCTTTGCTTACTTGTATTCTTAGCATTTTTTTCTCTATTTTACTAAACTATTTGGCTTTCTTTCTTTTGTATGACAGTTCTTGAAAACTCTTAAGCTATCTTTATATAATTAGATTATTATCTTTTATATCTATAAGCTAGTTCATATATTATAACCTTTATTCATTTATTGTACTACTATTTACTATTCATGTTTTGTTTCTAACATGTTTCTTATTTGTTTATCATATTTATAAACTTTTTATAATTATTTTTTTGCTTTAATGCTTATTCTTATTTCTTTTATTTTAGCTATTTTTTAATAAACTAAATTATTTTTTCAAACCTTTTTAGCTTCTGATTTTCTTTTATTGTCTCAAATGTCTTTGGTTAGACTGGCTTTTTAACATCCTTAAGCTATTATAAGTTTTGTTATTTATTCAGATTATCTTATCTATTAAGTTTTCAAAAAAAACTACTTATTTGCTTTATTATTATTTCTTAATTTAGTAATTTGTAATTATTTAAGTCTTTATATTCAATTATATAATTGTTTAATATTTTTATCATATTGCATTTGTGTTTAGCTAAGCATATCAATTATTCTTTTTGTTATTTTTATTAGTTATAAGAAATATTCTAGTTTAGAGATTATTATTGTATTGTTTATATATATAATTTGACTTATTGTTATTTTTTATATTTTAGATCTTTAACTATTTGACTAACTATTTTTTTTGCTTTTTTATAGACTAGTTCTTCATTTATTTTGTTATTTAGCTAAATTCCTAATAATCTTACAATCTTGTTTTTAGTTTTTTCTATTATTTTACTATAACTAAAAATAATTTCTCTTTCTTCTTCTTTAGTTTTTATATTTATTACTATAAGTTTTGATTTGGACTATTTATTTTAATGTTATTCGCTTTAAAAAACTTTTCTGTAATGCTTAGAATTTTTAGTAATTGTTCTTTGCTGTTTATAATCTATGTTATGTCATCTGCATATGCAATTGCTATTTATCTATATTTTGTAATATTGTTACTATATACTCTTTTTGTTATTTTTTGTTCTATTACATAGTCTAATGCTTTATTTTCTTGTATTCTTTCTAGTAATAAGTTATAGAAAAGATGCCAAATTAATAGTAAAATTATCTTTTTTTAATATATTTTATCTTTTGCTATTATTTCTTCTGTTAAACTATAGGCTGTAATAACTTTAAATTACTATTTACAAAAGAGATTGCTTATGTATTTTCTTGTTTTTTTGTAAAATTTTAACTTTTTTTAGAGCTCATTCTAGACTTTTTAATAGAACTAAGTCAAATGCCTTCTTTATATTATATAACAGTATTCAAACTTCTTTGTTTTTTTCTTGTGCCTCTTTCATTATTATATTCAATATATATATAGATTGCTTTGTTAAGTTGGCTAACAAATCTGCAAAGTTTGGCTCTTTAAATATATTTTTTTCTGTAAACACTTTGAACAGTCTTTTTGTTACTACTTTTATGATGACTTTTCTGAAAGTTTTAATCAATACTATTGGCCTAATGTTGTTTAAACAGAAACTTTAGTTTATATC